GGCATCTGTTTTCCTGGCTGGCACCTGAAGTCCTCTCCCCATCCCGTGAAGGGCCCCGTTCATCTGTGGCCTTCCTCGGCTCTCCTATCACTAGCATCAGATTCCCTAGGCACACACTGAAAGTTAGCCCTTGTACGTGCTGCGTGAGTGGTCGTAGGTCCCAGTCGCAGGCAAGGTGTTTAAACACTTTCTCCAAGTGAGGCTCCCAAGCCGCGCCGGCCTGAAACAGCACTGCGCCCCAGACCAGTCACAGCTGCCTGGTCCTGAGCCCCTGCGCTGAGAAATTAACACAAGACCCGCCCCTTGGGTTAGGTGGAAAGTTGTTCAAGATAGAAAACACAGATAAACAGAACCCAATTCACAAAACTGTCCAACTACAAGTATTTAATTAAAGTTGTTCCTCCACCAAAAAATCATCTTTGAATGCTGGAGCACTTCAGCTTCCAGATAATGAAGATATTTTTGCAGTCAGTCAATAAAGGAATCTCAACTGCATATTTTTCCTTTCTTAGGTTTGATCCTTTAAACACAATGAAGCACCTCACATTGGAACAGCACTTTAGAGTTTATGAAGCACCTCTGCCACGTTCTCTAGAATAACTAGACTGTAATCATAAAGCACAAACCTGACCCTTAGAGCTCCCAGCAAAATAGGAGAAGCCACGACAGGCCCGAGGTCACACAGGCAGCCCACAAAGCCCTTGCTATCATAATGATATCTTGCAACAGTTCAATACTGAATTTCACTCATGCCTCAAAGCAACTGTGAGCGCAAAGCACAATGCACGTATTACAGATACTGAGGAAGTCTCCCAAGGCCAGGCACTTGCAGGAGGCCCCAAGGATTAGCAGCACAGACAGGTCAGAACTGAGCTCTTGTTATTCCAAACCCCATCATGTCTTCCTAGCTCACTCTGACTTCCTCATAAAACCGGAGTGGCTCATCCAGCCAGGCCAGAACCAGGCGGGAGAAAATCGGGCATGATAAGGCTTCCGGGGAGAAGGCCAGGCAACAAAGAGAGGTGAAGTGTCTGGGAGCCTGAGATGCTGGGTCTGACACAGAATACAAGTTTAGAAACATGCAGAAGAGAGAGAAGGGAACCCAAGCAGGGAGGTGCCTCCTTCCTACCGTATCCACATCCAAGGCAATCACAGGGAGAGAGCAGGCAGGCCGGCTCTGGCAGCAGGGACTGCCCGACTGCAGACAATCCAGACAACCAAAAGGGAATTTCAGCATGGGATCGGACTGCCCACTCTGCACCAGATCACCTTCCGGGCTATGCTATCCTCTGGCCTCCTCCAAACCTGGCCTGCACTGTCCCACCCTCAGCCCAGCCTGCCTGCCCACTGAGCATGAGGCTCTGTGCTAAGGTTCCAGGCAGAATCCAAATGTGAATGCAGCTCTGTTCCAGCTCTGGGTCTTGGCAAAAGGAGGAGCAGAGAGCCAAGCACGTGCTGCGAGGAAGAAGAGCTTCTCCAGGGTTTCATTCACTCACTCGTCCAGTGACAGCGCTGGGGGTCTACTACGTGCCAGGCACTATTCTAGCTCTGCCAGTGCAGAGGTGAACAAAGTCTTTACATTGAGCAGTAGGAGACAAACAATAAACAAACAAGTACTGTATATAAATAGCACACTGAGTGCTAAGTAGAAGAAGAAACACAAAGCAGGGTTAACAAGAAAGGAGGCAGTGAAGCTAATTTATGGAGAGTGATCAGGGAGCTGGCAGATAAACAGAGAGCTGAAACAAGGGAGGGAGAGAGCCAGGTGGGCATCTGGGGGAGGCACGAGCCAAGGGCCGGTGAACAGCAGGCTCAAAAGCCTTGAGGCGGGAGCCAGCCAGGCCAAAGTGAGGATGAAGGGAGAAGAGCAAAAGTGCCCACATTCAGCCGGGACATAAAGGATGGACAGGGAGGCCAGGCCGGGGACCCGAGGCAAATGTGGGCAGTGGGCACATCTTCCCGGAACCGGCACAGCCTGACAGGACAAGGCTTGCAGATGAGAGGGGAACCTGGAAAAGTCAGGCCGAGGAACGTGGGTGTTGGGGCGGTCACTGGGGAGCCACCGAAGGCTTGGGCACAGGAGAAAGGCTGGCAAGATCCAACCTGCCAAGAGGCAGCCCTGCAGCCCAACCCTGGGCAAGCCCACAGCTGGCCCAGAAAACACAATTCCCACGGCAGGGGCACCCGGCTGACACATAGGGCTCCACGGAGAGAACAGGACAGAATGACCTTGAGGACACTGGCCTCCAGAGGGCTCCCTTGAGTGTCCGACAGGGACAGAGGGGAGGACTGGCTGGCTGCAGGAGAGGCGAGAGGACACTGCCCAGGACAGCTGACTCAGCCTGTGGCAGCAGGCTGCTGGGCGGCTCCACCTGACCCAGGTGGTGGGCGGGGACTCGGGGAAGGGGAGGGAGCCAGGGAATCCTCCTTGCGGGCTTCTGGTCCAGCTCCCACCCAAGGAACACAAGTGCATCCCTCCAGCTCCCCAGATGCCTGGATGCCTCCTGTGAGCAGTCATCTCAAGCTCAAGCTGGGGGATGCCCGCCTGGGGATCCATGGCTACTGCCCCCTGGTGCTACGGACCCCCCATTCTCCTGGCCACTAGCAAGGGGAGGAGCTGGAGCAGCAAATGGGAGCCCACAGCCTCGAGTGTGCAGCCAGGGCTGCCATCCACACCCAGGGTCCTCTCCAGTTCTCCAGGCTGCAGGGCAGAGCATGCAGGTGTCTGCCGCCTGCTCAGGAAAGCCCTTGGCGCTGGCCAGCGATATGTTCAGGGCATCTGTGTCCACCCTCTCGGACTCCCCCAGACAGCGAAGGTTTCTCCACCACTTCTGACCACCGCACCTGTTGCATCACCAGGAAGGTGTCCAGGCCAGGAAATAGAGATGGATGCCAGGGACAAGCTGAGGCCTGGACAGGCCCTCTGTGTCCAGGCTCTGTCACCACAGTGCCCCCCAACGGGCCTCAGTGACCACCACCCAACCCAAGGCCCAGCCCAATGCGAACCTCACCACCAAATGTTTTTCCTCTGAGTTCCTCAGTTTTGTCTAGGAAAAATCAAGGTGTTTCAGCACTCCCTCTCAGCTCCCAGGGGTGCGACTGGTGTCTTTTACAATTATCTCTTATTTTTATCTAGCATGTCTTAGCTCAGTTGGCAAATTGGATATTTATGCACCTCTATTTCACAATCCATCCCCACCAATTATTCCTGTGAAACTAATTTTTTATTTTAAAAAGAAGGGGGGGCTCGGAACGACTCAAGGCAACATGATGCAAGCAAGGTAACAAGCCACACTGGGCCTGGGGTGCCCCAGAAAGCAAGCAAGGTGGAAGAGAAGCAGGAGTCGAAGGCCCTGGCAGTGCCTGCCCCACTAGTGAGCTTGCACATCTGGTCAGCCTGCTTCCTGCAGCCCAGGAGTCCAGTTCCATGTGGGAGGGGCCTGGCCACACACCAAACACAAGACAGAAGACCCTAGGAGTGGCCAATTGCTGGGGCCTGCCGTCACCCAAACCCAAAGCTCTGCAGATCGAAGCTCGGGCCTGAGCTGACGGTGCCCAGCACCAGGGGCGGGCTGTGAGCACAGACGGCTGGCAGCTGCCCAGTTCCGACTCATCAACACCACTCCCAGCCCCAGCAGTTCCCAAGTCTGTGTCCCTCCTGCCCACCCGCCCAGAGGACCCAAGCTCAGGGACCCTCCCCAGCCTAGGCTGCGGATGGAGGCAGCACCTGACCCAGCCCTGAGGTGCAGGCCGCACATTCCAGCCGTCCTGCACTGTGTGCCTGCTCGGTGCTGCTGCTCACAGAAAAGCCCCTGCCTGGCATCAGTGGAAGGAGCCCGGCCCCAAAGGAAGGAAGGGCAGCCACAGGCTCTCAGCACCAGCAGAGCTGCACTTGGAAAAAGCTGGCCCACTTAGACCCTCAAAGCTTTCTTTCGGGTTTCTATTTCCAAAATCACTGTCCTTTCTCAAAAGTACTGGGGGACGCTCAGGAAGAGGCACAGGAGGTTGAAGAGGCCAGGGACGGATAAGCCCAGAGATGAAACACAGGAGGCAGGCTCTGGGCGCTTCACCCTCCAGATACCCTCCCATTTGTGAGCTGACAACATCTGACCCCAGGCTGAAGTCTGGCCGTGGTCAGGCTCTAACTGAAGAGATGAAAAACAATTAAAAGTCTTCCTTCTGCAAGTAATCCCAAGTTAGGACTGCCAGGCTCCCTCTAAGGCTCCGCAGGGCGGCCCCCCGGGGCAGCCTCCACCCTCCCTGCGCCCCTCAGCCCAGGGAGATTTGGTCCCCAGCCTTGGCGCTCGCTCGGAGGCCCGCCGCCCACCGCCCGGTGTGAAGCGCTGCTGGGACAGAGCACCAGGGCTCGCCGTCATCCCCTGTGGACTTGCCCTGGGGAGCGGGCCAGGCCGAGGTCACGCCTGCGCCGCGCCTCCACCCCTCGCCCGCCACCCTGAGGAAACCGGTTGCGGAATTTTTAATTCAGTTTTTCCCTCTGAGGCTAACTATACGGGGAAAGGGGAGGGGGACGATCAGAGCTCGGCTCCCGGGAGGCAGCGAACCTACCAGCGACCCCAAACTCGGGAGCTGCCGCCCGGCACGGGGACCTGGTGCCAGCGCCGAGCGGGGCCCCGGATCTCACGGGCTGCCCGGCCACCCCGCGGGACCCGGGACCCGAGCCGGCAGCCGCCGCCGCCCAGCGCCTCCCGCCCGGCCAGGTCGCTCCCGCCGCGGCGCCACAGCCCCTGACGCTTGACCGCTCGGGTCCCCGCGCGCCCGTGGGCCGGGGCTGGGACAGGGTGGGGGCGCGGGGCGGCTGGTCCGCACCCCGACCCCGGGTCCCCGCGGCGATGGCCCCGCTGCCCGCCCCCTCCGCGGCCGCCGGAAGCCCCGCTGGGTCCCGAGGCATCGCGGGCCGCAGCCCCCGCGCCCGAGTCCCCGCGCCGCCCCGGGCGCCCCAGGCTGCGCCGCCGGCGACCCACGGTCCGGGCCCCGCTTACCTGGCTCCGGCGCGGGTTGCGCGGCTCCTTCGGCGAGGCCAAGCGCCGGGCGCCGCCGCAGCTCTTTGTGAGCCCGCGCCGAGCCGCACACGGCGACTGCTAATGAGCCCAGGAAGCTGGTACGGCGGGCGCGCCCCGGACGCGGCGTGCAGCGCGCAGGGCCGCCTCTGCCCGGGCACCCGCACCCGCCTCGGCCTCCGGGCCGCTCCCTGCGCCCCCCGCCCGGCGAGTCGGGGTCGGAAACGCCTCCCGGAGCGCGTGGCGGGAAGCGGCGAGGACAAAGATGCTTCCGCGCCGGGCGCTGCGCCCCGAGCCCGGCAGGGACGATGGCGGGGCGCGGGCGCACCTGGGACCCGGTCCTGCGGGGCTGGCTGGGCGGGCTGCAGCCCGGGCTCGGGAGCCGCAGCGGCGCCCTGCGGAGCGCACGGACTCGGGCCCCCGGGACCCGCGGGCTCGGAGCCGCAGGGGTCCGGTCCTCGTGGCAGAACAGGTGAAGGCGACGCTCGGCGGCGCCCGCGCCCTGCCCCGCGTGCCGCGCTGCCCCCTGGCGGGCTCCAGAGCTCGCGGCGTCCAGGGCCAGGCGACCGCGCCCTGCTCTGGCCCTCGCCACGCTGCGCGGCGTCCTGGACCAGAAGCCCTGGGGACCATGGCCCCAGAGAGACCCTGTGGCCGAGAGGGTCCCGGGCCACCTCCCCACCGCAGGTCCCCCGATCGGGTGCAGGCGACCGGCCTTCTGTCCAGGCCGCTAGTAACCGTGGGGTCTCTGACACCCCACCCCAAGGCCTCGCCCGGGGCCTCTCGTCCTTGTCCTCCTGCTTGGACCCCTGGCCTTGAACACCCCTGCCGCCGACACCCATCCCGCAGGCAGTCATCACCCTGTAGTGTGAGTCATCCGTGCCCCTCAGATCCTGGAAGGTCGCTTAGAGGCCGGAGTGACCTTTGACCCTCCTCCCCCACCTGTCCTTCCGTCCCAGTCCCAGGAAGTCCGCCCGGAGAGCGCAGGTTTCTACTCTGGGCAGAACTGGGTCCCGTGCATTGCCTCCAAAGCCCTCTATGAGCCCTCTCTCTTCTGCTGGTTAGGATGAAGCCCTAGCACCAGGAGTTCCGAAGAGGGTGCCGCGGAGGAAGGGCGGGCCTGGGGAGTGGCGAGCCCCTCTCCCTGCTGCTGCCCTGAGGCCCTGCAGAGCCCCTGAGAAGGGGCCTGGGAGAGCCGGACCCTGGGCCTGGGCAGGCCAGGGACTGCTCTGGATGCCTGTGCCCTCTCTGGACTTGGCTCCTCTCCCAAGCCGATCCTGGTGGGGCAGCTCTGTAGCCCAAGAGTCAGAGCCCCGAGCAGGCGGGACTCGGTTGACCTCCATCCCGTCCCCTGCGGGTGAGCCTGCCTTCACTGTTTATTCTCCACCTATCCAAACATTCTGTTGACCCAACCAACAAAAGGTTTAGCTGCTGCTGGCCTAGGTTTTTCTGCAAATGCCGTGCCTGGAGAGCCGCAGCCGGGAGGAAATGCTTTCCTAGCTTTAACGTGAAGTGGGACCGAGTGTACTCGCTGTCCTGCCTTCCTCTAACATGGCCAAGTCCCACAGGAAGCCAGCCGCTGTCCCCACAGATGACCCACCAGCCCTACGGCTCTGTGTGCTGGACCTCGGGCCAGGCTGAGGCTGTTCCTTTCCATATCCGCCCTTGCGTTCTTCTGTGGGGGGTGAAGGTCTTTCTCAGGATGCTTCAAAACTGAGAAGCAGTAACATGAGAAATAGGTACATTTTATTTCCCAATACCATCTGCCTGGAAATCACCTGCATCTGCACAGCCAACAGCAAACTAGGAAAAAATATCTGTGATGCATATCGCAGCTCATTTCCCCAATGTATAGATGGCATTGGGAAACACACAAGGAAAATAATCAACTTAAAAAAACCTGACCGTTTACAGGCAAGGAAATACAAATGACTTTTATAGAAATACAAATACTTCTAAACGTCTGAAAAGATGTCCTCCTTTATTCATAATAAGAAACACAGGGCTGGGCATAGCTTAATGGTTACAGCACTGGCATTCTCAGGCCCTGAGTTCTACCCCCAGCACCGTGAGCATGTGCACACACACGCACTCAGCTAGTTAAAAGTAAGCTACACTTCGATTTTCTACCAGAGACGCGGGATTTCAGTAATGCAATAAATTCCAGCAGCAGTGGGGAAACTGGAAGGCTCCCATGCTGCCTGTGAGAGTGTAGACTGGTACAATCGCTACGGAAGACAATTAGATCACTTCTACCACAATGACAAATGCACAAGCCCTAGGTTAGTCAACTTCTTGTTACTGTAACAAATACCTGAGACATCCAATTTATTAAAAGATTGGTTTTGGCTCAAAGTTTTGGAGGTCCCAGTCCATCATTAGGTGACTCCTGCAATGGTTAAGGTCAACTAAATTGGCTTGATCACCACTCAGGGGATGAGCAAAGCACAGCCCTGGGTGTGTCGGGGTGGATCATAGTCTCGGGGGCCATATCTGGTCCCTCATCTCGTCTTTGCTGGCATTGTTCCCCTGCTCTGCATCCTGGCTGCCATGAACTAGCAGCTTTGCTCTACCATACACGTCCGCCATGATATTCCTGCCTCAGAGTCTGCCAACCATGGACTGAACCTATGAAACCATACCCAAAATGAACAGTTCCTCCTTTAAATTGTGTTTGTTGGTCCCAGCATTGGGAAAGTGACTAAGACTGGAGAATATTCCATTCTTTTGGTGCTCTGGCAAGACAACACATCATGGCAGCACAAGGCAGAGGAAACTGCTCACCTCATGGTGGACGGGAAGCAAAAGAGAGGAAGAGAACAGGGTCCCATGGTCCCCTTCAAGGGTATGACTCGCTGGGACCCTTCTCCCAAAGGTTCCACCATTTTCTAATAACACCAACCAGGGACCAAATCTTTAACACACAAGTCTTGGGTGCAGCACATTCACTCAAACTCAATCTTTTGACTGAAGAATTCTATTTCCAGGAATTTTTCTACCTTTGTAGCACACATGTGGAAAAAAAGACATGAGCAGAGTTATTCATTGTGTCACTGTTTGTATGGTAAGTGATCACAGACAGCCTTGATGTTTGCAAATAGATGGCTAGACACCCAAGGGCACATCCAAACACTGAAACAGTATGCAGCCATAAAAGAAGGACACTTGGAATCTCTTGTCTTTCTTCCTAGCAGTAGGGGTGGTAGGAAACCTCTGGTCCAGAAATCTAAGAAGGTCTAAGCAGGCACCTCTGTAATTGCGTGTTTGTACCACACAGCTGTGCTGTCTACCTCCACCCAGTGGCAACATATGTGAATTGCAGGTTTGTTGCCAACACCATAAACCCCCCTGGTGCTCCCAGGCCAGGCCAGATCTCTGGCACTGAGCTGTAAGTGTAGCAAGAAACGAGCTGATTCCTCAGCCCTTGCCATAACTTTTTTTAGGTACTGGGGATTACAGCACTATCTCTGAGCTACATCCAGACTTTTTTTGAGATAGGGTCTCGCTAAACTGCCTAGGCCACTCTTAAACTTGTGATCCTCCTGCTTCAGCCTCCCAAGTAGCTAGGAATTTAGGCATTCGCTACTGTAACCAGCTTCAGCATTGACATTTTCTTAAAATAACATATGACTCCCCTATGCAGGACAGTAGATTAATATTTTGGTTAATGTGCTAAGAAGAATGCTCCCTTATAAAACTCCCAAATGGAGGACTGCATTTCTTTTCATTCCTAGGCTGAGTGTAAGTGTGTTAGGCTGACAGACACCCCCTCCGGGAATGGTGGGGTGCCCTCCCATGAAGTTAATGCTTGGCAGGAACCCTTTGGGGTCTAACCTTTCCTGTTGATCCTGATACTTGAGTTTCTTCCTCTCCCTTTCCTCTCCTTCATCCTTGTACAGTTGACACTGACCTCAGCTAGGGGCCAGCGGTCCTGCGTTCTGGTCCTAGCTAACACACAAGCCAGCCCTGGACCTCAGAAAAATCACCACGGCCTCCGTGGTACAATGTCCTCCTCTGTTCCGATGCAGAATTGACCTGGAAAACCCCTGGATCCGTCATGTCTAAAAGGGAAATGCAATGTAGACCACGCCATGGTCTTGATCCTCCTACCTTCAAGACTATTTTCATTAACATGTATTAATTGCACATGGCAACAGGGTTCAGTGTGATATTTCAATATGTGTGTCAAATCTGGCCTCCCTTTACCAGCCTTTCCCCAGCCTCTAGAAAGCACCATTCATCATTCAGGTTGGCTTTGTTTTTTTTTTTCTTCTGGATTTAAGTCAGTGGGGGAAAATCACCAACCAGATCATATTCTACTAGGTTCTTCCAAGCTGTGGTGGCTTATTTCAGAAGAAACAAAGACATGCAGCATGAAAATGCCTTTGACAACCATGGATACAAAGTATCTTTCTAAAAAAATAAATATCATTGATTTCTTGGTGATGTCAGGATGCAAATTCTGCAAAATCCAGGCTTTCCAGCAGTTAATGAATAATTATAAAGAGTGGAAACCTCTGGCTCCCAGCACTCCTGATCCCGGCCTCGGGAGTCACACAGGGCCAGCTGCAGGGCCCGGGAAGAGCAGGATGTGCAGTCCTGCCCTTCGCCAAAGCCTCGGAGGCAGGGCTTGCGGTGTGGGTGCTGGCTTGTGCAGGGAAAGCAAACTTGTTCTTTCATGAGAGAAGTTACTAGCTGCACGTTGGTAGAAATGGGATGAAAATGACCACGGCCGCAGCTTGCTTTCTTCTTGAGACTCTGGTGTTGAGAGTGGAGCAGAGTCTTGCAGACAAAGTGCGGGTTCAGATGGTACCCACAGTGGAGGTGGTCTGGAGTGGAGACCGCAGAGCGACAGCAGTGCACAGTGGGCCCTGGGCCAACACCCAGTACCTGGAAGTGTGAGGGAAAATCAGAGCTGTAACGTTGGGAAAGAGTGATACAGAATTCACCATCCTAGAGTCCATTTCAGTTCCTGAGTCAGCCTAGGGTGAGCAGCCCTGGACCCCTGGAACCACACCCAAGACAGAACATAGAGAACCGGAGCATCGGCCTGTGGACGCCGCAGATCAGGGAGCCGCCTTCCAGGGGAGGGTGGACGGGAGGCGTCAGTGTGCTGAGGCCAGAGCCACCTCGGGGCCAGTGGTGTGGAGGACTGCTGTAAGAGGACTGCTCGGAGCTCAGCGCTGGGCTTCACCTGCCCTTCAGCATGGCCTGGGCTACCAGATGCCCCCGGGGGCTTCAAGGACAGCCGCACAGGGTGGCTTCTCCATGGGGGCAGGACCCTGAGCTAAATGACTGCACACGGGCTCAGAGTTCATTTCTCTTCTTCGGTCCTACTGTGCTAGGCTTGTACAAGGGCGACCGCATTTTCCAGGCCCCTACCAGAGCTCAGGATCTGGCCCAGTACCTCAGCCACTTTCAACAGGCTGTCCTTTTGTGATGATCCTGTCAAGTCTGGACAGTTTGGCTGGCACCTAGCGAGTAGAGATAAGGAAGCTTTTAAAGAGCCTACAATGCACCGGATACCTGTCCACACAAACAACGATGTATTCCAAGCCAGGATGTCAACAGCGCCTCTGCCATACTATCTTCTAATGTGTCTGTCTCTTTCCATGGAATACATCTTAGAGATACATGAAAGTCTACCACGAGTAAGGAAAGACTTGAAACAAGGAAGCCCCATTGCTACAATTCCATGCAACAGGAGACAGGGTCCACGCAGTGGCAGGGCTGTGCCCAGTGACGCAGGGCCCTCGTCCAGCCTGCCCACCCACCCTGCTGGCTGCTGCTAAGCAGAGCAGTGGCAGCCACGCCCAGGCCTGGTTCTTCTACCTGTTGGTCTCTGGGTCCGGGCTTGACAGGACCATCCCAGACCCAAGAGGAAATGCAGCCAGCGCCAGGGAAAGGAACCAGTTCCGGCTTCCTGCTCCACAGACACATGAGCTCCTGCTCTGCAGATGAGACCCCGGGGCTGCAGTGCTGAGAGACAGGAGAGCTCTAACGCCTGCACTCGGGACAGATGACAAGCAGACGTTCCCGGTCAGGAAGAGCGCAGGGTGGCTCCCCCGAGGGGCTCACAGGCACTGAGCCCACCCTCCTGCTCCCCCACTCAGCTGCGGCTGCCCTGCTCCCTGGCTCCTCCTCCTACTGCTGCCCTCCACCATCTCGTTTCCCTGGATCTCTCAGCCTGTCTTGGAAACATTCCTGGCGCTCTTTACACAGGGCTTAGTGAGCCCGGGAAGCCTCCCTCCGGTCTCCAGAGAGAGGGCTGTGGGGACTGACTATTCCTTGCCAGCGGGGTCACGGTCTCTCTGCTGTGGTCTCTTTGGTGCTTGCTCAGGAAGCTCTTGTTAGAGCCGCTCGTGCTGGAAAGCCTGGCCTCCTTGGGCTGAGGCCCCCGTGAGGTGTCCACAGCCTCGCTAAGGCCAGCCTGCCCCAGTGGTTTGCATCACGCGCTATTTCTCTTCTCCTGCCCGGGCCTTTGCCTGTGCCTTGGGGCCCCTTCCTTCCGGGCCCTCCCTCGGTGCTCCGGGAAGGCCCTCACTGCATTCCTGACCCGGTCAGCTTGGGGGCTGCTGCTCACCCGAGCCTGCATCGTCCTTCTCTACAATCCTCTACAATCCTTTATTCCTTCGTGATTAACGGCCCCTCCCCTCCCCCAGAGGGCGGACCTGCCTGACACCTTCCCAGGCGCATCTGCAGCACAAGGCACAGAGCCTGGCACGGAGCAGGCCCTCGGGAAATGTTTGTGGAGAAGATGAACGAACAGATGAAAGAAAATATTTAAGAAGCACTTCAAGGCCTCTGTCCCCCAAAGATCATCTTATCAGCTTTGGGTGGTGCCTCCGATTTCCACCACTAACCCTCTGTTCAGGTAAAAGCCTCCTGTTTTCCCGTCAGTAAGTTTATGTTGGGCCACACTGGGGCTTCAGTAAAATCTGACAGAGCAGGACAGGGGCCGGGGCTGGGACAGGTGGGGGTCCAGACCCACATGCAGAGCCACACAGAGGATGCATCAGACCCCAAGCTGCCCGGCCCCTCTCAGGGAAGAGGGAGGGGCTGCCCAGGCTGCGCTCTCATGGACTTCCCTGGGGTGAATACTCAGAGGCCCCAGGCCTCATTTATTCCGTGTGAAGACCTGCATCTTTCTTTGGGATTTGACTTCTTTTTTTCAGAGGCAGTCTCACTATGTAGTTCAGGCTGCCCTCGATCTCACAGCGATCCTCCTGCTTCAGCCTCCGGAGTGCTGGGAGCACAGGCATGTGCCACCACCTCCAGCTTGGGATTGGACTTTGAAATCGCCCTCCAAGGCATGCTGGGATCACACGGTGCCTGCAGGTGTGGACACAGCAGGAGACGGGACAGGAGACAGACCGGGCTCCCCTTACCCGTGTGTCACAGGGCCCTTAGGTGGCAGTGACAGCCTGAGGGCTTCCTCTGGCAGGGAGCACTCGGTGGGGTGGGGTGTGGAGTCCCCCCTGGCACTGAAGCTCATTCAGCTCTCTGGGCGCCACCGGTTCTGAGCAATGCCCTTTCACCAGCACCGGAAGTGTAAACTCAGCTGCTGGAACTCGGACCCCAGGATCAGATCTTTGACTTACAATTTGGTGCTATTTCAGCCCCATACACAACCACAGGGTTATACTGTGCATGGGAATGTTTCCCGCATTTCCAAGACTCAGTCCTCGGCAGTGAAAGAAGTAAAAATACAGGCTTGGATCTACTCAGCTCAGGGGCTCTTGGGTCCGGTGATGCTTCCTCAGTTTTAAGATCCCAGGTTCCATATCTTACCATCTGTTACACTGCACTGTGGCAGCTCCCAAAGACGCAGAGTCCTAATCCCCCACACTGGTGAACCGATCAGGTGTGAAGTGAGGTGAGTACTGATAACCACGTTACTCTGAGGTGGTTAGGACGGGCCTTGTGGCAGCACAGCAGATGCCCCTATAAAGGGAAGAACAGGCACAAGGAGAAAACCAGGTGGAGACAAGCAGGAGAGCACCATCTACAAGCCAAGGACACCCAAGTCCAGAAACCAGAAGACAAGCAGGGAGCAGATTCTTCTCCCAGCCCTCAACGGAGCCAAACCTGCTGACTCCTCCCTCAGGGAGGCTGAGCCAAGAGGATCCCAAGTTCAAGGCCACCTGACCAACTTAACAAGACCTTGTCTCAAATATTTTAGAAAGGGGAGGAAGTGGAGCTGGGGATGTCGCTCAGTGCAAAGGCCTGGGCTCAGCCTCCAAAGCTACCCCCAGAAAATTTTTTGAAGACATTTTTCTTGCCATTACTCCCTAAACAATGTAGTGTGACAACTGACACACAGCATTTGCATGGTGTTGGGGACATCTAGGGACAACTGGAAGGGGCAAGAGGAAATGTGGGGTCTATGCAAATACAGGACCATGTCATGTAAAGGACCTGAGCACCCAGGACGTGGGCACCCAGGCGTCCTGGACGAGTCCTCCACAGATGCTGAGGGACAACTGTGCATTGGAACACAGCCCAGGAAACCAGGACCTCCATGAAATCGGGGTACATCTGCAGTGCACTGTGCCAGCTCCAGCGGGGCCTGCCAGGCCCCCCTCCCAGCTTTGGAGGGCTTCCCTCGAGGCCTCCACCCTGCTTAGAGAATTTCCCTTCAGCTGCTGGAGTGGCTCTGCCTTCCCAAGTGGAGCCGGAGGCACCAGGCACACACGGCCTTTGCTGCCCCCCTCCCCACCGGGTCTTGGAAAGGGTGCAGGACTCCAGGAGCTCTGCTGCTTTAAGGGGGGACAGACCTGAGGGGTGCCTGACACCCACAGCCCTGTGGCATTAAGCGGAGGCTGGGACATGGCCCGGAATTGCATCTCGCTCAGCTTCTGTCACTGCCGTGCCTTGTCCTGCTGTCCTGTTCCCTCCCTGCCCCTCCCCAAGGAGGCGCTTTCTCAGGAAGCTCCCTCTCAGGCGCTGGTGCAGGCTCACCAGAAAGGCCTCAGAGCTAAGGGGAGGAAGTGGCTCTGGAGGCTGAAGCGGAGATCCTGGAGACCCGGCAGGAAGGCCCAGGTCCCAGCAGTGCGCTCCCTTCCTGCACCTTGTTTCCTGAGTCCCCACAGCGGTCACTATGGCGGAAACCAGGTGGGAAGGGTGCCTGGATTGCACAACTCTCTGTTCTGTGACTGAAGACGGGGGAGAGAAGATGGCCGACTAGGGTTGACCCGTTACAGTCGTGTGGCAGTGTTTGAACCCATTCTCCTTACCTGCACCCACAGACGACCTGGCCTGGGTCATTTTACCAAAAGCAGGACCTCAGAGATGGCCGAGTTCACAGCCTCACCAATTCTTCTCTGCTAGAGCCAAGGTCCCGACAGAGAAGTAGGGGGGCCCACTCCCGAGAGACGATGGGGAAGGGAACATCTCACGTAGGCAGGACTTCAGCCACCCACTTTGAATGCAAAGAGAAATGGCCTGAGCTTAGCTGTATCCCGGGCAGCTGGGCCAGGACCCGCAGGACTAGGCTGGGTGCTCTGTGACACGGTGACCATATTTGGATGGACTCCGGAGGCATCCTGCGGAAGGGCCTCAGGATGACACACTGATGTCCGTCCACCAGAGGGCGCGGCAGGTATAAAACCACCGGTGACTCAGCTGGTAGATGGCTACAGAGCCCATCCTAGGAGGCCTAGGGTTTCTGCAGAGCTGTGACAGGCAGCCATGGCCAGAGAAGAAGGCCACACATGCGGCCAGAGCAGAGCTGGCTGCTACCATTGATAAGTGGGCCGCCTGTTGGCAGCCATGCTGAGCTCCTGATATGCCACCACCTCTAAAACAGACCAGCCAGCCTGTGTTCGCCCACTCAGGGCACCCTAACAAAATACCCTAAGTTCAGAGGCTTGTAAAGAACAGACATTTATTTCTCATGGTCCTAGACTACAAAGTCTGAGATCTGGCAGATTCGGTGCCTGGTGAGGTTTCCTCCTGGTGTGCAGATGTCTGCCTTCTCACTGTCCTCACAGGTCTCATAGGCTCTCTGTGGTCCCATCCGAGGGGTGACCTCGTCACCTCCTTAAGGCCCCATCTCCTAATGCCATCACTTTGGTGATTGGGCTTCGACATAGGAATTTTGCGGGGCACAAACTTTCAGACCATCTCACAGCCACTCGGCAGCAACCAAGTACACTGGATCACTTCTGCCTGAAGACCATACCTTCATCCTGACCGGGATGTCACACATTCCAGGGAGCAAATGAATAGCGGCCAATTTTCCAGAGTGCAGCCAGTTTACAAATCCACAGTTTCTTGATTGTGGAGGAGGCTGAGTGGCCCCTGTGACACTGTCGAAACTGTGTGCTGCCAGTCATTCTCTTTCCGTTCTTGTTATGCAGGCCTTTGGTCACTTACTAGGGTAACGTGTGTACTGGAGAAAGGAAAATGCTGAGACTCTGGGGGACTTCTGGACATGGGCTCTCAAGTGACATTAAATCTTAGGATTTTTAGAAAATCCTTAGGAAAACAAAATGTCACTGTGCTCTGCCACTTGAAGTGGAGCTCATGGTAATCAGTGATACATGGAGTTTGGGCCCAGATCTGGGTCTTCAGTCCCACCCTTCGGTCACTCCCAGTTCTGCAAGGCACCATTGGGATGGGCATCTGCAGCCCCTCAGTCTCCACATGGTCCTTGACCCATGGAACGAGGTGCGAGGAACTGCCTTCCTCCCCTAGTCCTGAACCCGCAGAAGCAGCAGAGATCGCTATTATCATGCGAGACAGGAACAGCACAGAGCGGGTGTCAGTCACAGCCCCATTTTGTTTGTCTCTTTGTGCTGTGTAGACATTGCATGAATCTTAGAAAATGACAACAGACTGTCATAAAGCTGATGTGGCTCCAACTGCAGCTGCTGTTGCAGATGTGGCTTGGGAGTATTTCAGATGTGTGTGCAGATTGCCACAAAACACTGTGGTTCGTGGCACCTGGTAGACTCTGTGTTAATTAACTCTTTCTTTTCCCTTCTTCCTCTTGTGAACAAAACAGGTGAACGTCTCAGGTTCCAAGCGAGAATATGACTGAGCTGACATGACTGTGCAGTCATAGGGTGTCTGGTGACATTTCTTCACCCAGACAGACAGCAGGAGAGTAAAGTGGTGGCTGCACAGGATCTTTCAGCTTTCTTCTCCAGAACTGCTCTCCACCCTTTCCCTTCCTGGTATGCTTCCAGGAAGCTGACAGATGTGGGCTGCGCTGCGGGCTCCTCTGGCTTCCAGGTAGGTTTGCCCAACTAGAAATACTGGAAGCAGATTGGAGGAGTGAGCCCCGTGGCCCCCACTCTTCCTTCCCTAGCATACTGAATTGGATATGTGCGTCTGCCCAAGGCCACGGCTCCTGCATAACCTTCTTCCACAACTGCTGGTCACACTGGATTCCAGTGATTCACCCCCACACTTGCTCCTTTGGGCCTGGGAGCTTCCCATGTTGCTAGCCCCAGAGAGCTGGGCTGTTGATTTCGGTTAACCCCATCCTACCTTTCTAAACAGTTCTTTTTACTAGGATCTCAATTCACTCCCTTCTGAAGGTACCATCTATTTTCTGCTTACTCTGACTAATTCAAGGAACAGAATTAATTCATTTGCCTAGTACTTATTGAGTATATATCATGTATAGCAGTCGGGATTCTCCAGAGATAAGGAACCAATAAGAAGGAGGGAGAGAGAAGAAGAACAGGAGAGGCAGGGAGGTTTATTAGGGGAATTGGCTTTTGTGATTATGGGACCAAGAAGTCCTATGATGGGTCATTTGCGAGCTGGGAACACTGGGACGTAGGCAGCATCACTCAGCCCAAGCTCAAAGCCTCAACACCAGGGAAGCTGCTCATGTAAGTCCTGGAATCCAAAGGCTGGAGATACTGGACTTTGGGTATTCAGGGGCAAAAGGAAGAAAGTGCATCCCACCTGGGAGGAGGTGGGCAATTCACCTCCTCTGTTGTGTTCTCTCTGGCCCCTGGTGGACTGGACGGTGCATGTCTGCACCGTTTCTCCCCACTCAGTCTTCCCAGGCCAGTGTCCCCTGGAAACCTCACAGACAGCCCCTGCTCACCAGGTTCTCCCTACTCCAGCCAAGTTGGCAGTGAAATAAACCTTCACATCATATAGTTCCTGATAGGCATCGGAGATGCTGTTGGAATAAAATCAGACATGCTTCTTGCCTCAGAGCTTTTCGGGAGAGATGAGCACTAATCCAACAACCTCTCAAACAAAAGAGAATTACAAATGAGGCAAACTGAAGGGAGGATGGTTCACGATGCTATGAGACCTCATAATGGGAGAGGGGTCGCTGTCCCCTTGCACTTGGCTTGGTGATCCACTTGTGGAGCAGCATGTGCAAAGGCCTCGAAGCGGCCAGGAATACAACACCTTTAAGGAACTGGAGAGAAGCTTATTCAGGAGAGGCTGGAGAGGCAGAAGTGGTGCAAGCGGCAGGCCACACCCACTTACCTAAGGAAGGGCAAATAAAGCCCCCGGGACGTATGGTAGGTGGCACCGGCTTAGCCCCTCGGCGGATGTCTCCTGAGACTCGTGCCCTTTTGTGTCCCCTCTCTTTGCCTGTGGGCTGGACTCTCTGACTTAATCCTAGTGACGAGAACACAGGCCAAGTGACAGGATCCCATCCTAAGACCGGCTTACAGAAAGCACTGTGGTTTCCGTTTGGGGTTCCCTCCCTCTGTTGGTCTCTGGCTCTCTCGAATCACCAGCTGTCACCCTGAGAAGCCACTCAGGTACGTATGGGACAGTCCTGTGGTGCAAGCCCAGGCACGAGAGCTTGGGAGAGAGCTTGGAGTGGGGCTTCTGAGGCCAACTGGAGGCCCGTGTGTGAGCATGCGCACGCCTTCTCCTCCCTCGCTGAGCTTGCAGGGGACTGCAGCAGCCCCCCTAGAGCTGAACTTCAACCTCCTGAGACCACAAGCCAGGGGCACCCTGCTAAGCCCGGCCCACAACTCTGACCTACCGAGGAGGGGGATAATAAATGCTTGTTTTGTCAAGCACCACATTCTGGAGGTAATTCATTATGCACAGTTATCCCAAGATAACTATCTTAGCTTTCCTTTGCCATGAGAAATACCTGAGATCAATCAGTTTAAAAGAGGAAGGCTGGGCTCCTCGAGATTTCTTAGTATTTTCTCTGTAGATGATCATTTCATCTACATATAAAGATTTTGCCTCTGCCGTGCCAATCCTATCCTAGTTGTGTCATTTTATTGCCAGACTATTTTTGGTGGGGCCTAGGTTTCAAAGTTTAATGGACAGATAGAGAGTAGGCATATCTGCCCTTGTTCCCCACTTTAGGAAGAAAGCATTGTATCTTCTCCATTTATATAAGGCATTTTTTCCAGGAAGTGTGGAGTACATGTCTTTAATCTGTTGAGAAGGTTCTGTTCTACTTCTAGTCTCCTGATAGCTTTTACCATGAACAGCTGTAGAATTTAGTCCAATACTTTTTCTCCAACTACTGAGAGGATCATATGGCTTTTTCTTTCTGCTTTAAATGTTTGATATAATTTATCAGTTAAAATGTATATGAGCCTGCTGTTGTCATATAGGTAGGTTTTCAAGCTAGGAATATACTTTCTTTAATAGGTGCTATTCAAATTTTATATTTCCTCCAGAGTCAGTTTCATTAATTTGTCTTCCAAGATACTTCTTAGAAGTTGTCCAACTTATTTCAAAAAAGATTTTTGTAATATGCTTTCTATATCCTTTTAAATTCTGTAAAATCTGTGGTAATGTCTCCTAGATCTTGATATTGTAATTTTTTAAATGTATATTTGATGTTGTGTAATAGGAAGAAAAGGTCTAAAGGAGTAGGCGAAGTGGGAGGGGTAGGGGAAAGGAAACAAGGGAAAAGAAAAAATATGAGAAAAGAAAACTAAAATGGAAATGAAGTCTTTGCAAATAGGGAAGGGTGGAGGGGGCGAAGGGAGGGCAGGGGAAGGGGAAAAAAATAAGAACCAAGATACTCATGTAATGGTACAAGATCCCAATGATGAATGTAACTGTATTTTATATCTAAAGTGTATCAATAAATTTAATGGAAAATAAATAAATAAATAAATAAAATTTAAAAAGAGGAAGACTTATCTGGCTCACGGTTTCAGAGGTTCCAGCCTATGGTCAGCTGGCTCCCTTGTTTTGGGGCCTACAGTGAGGAAGCTCATCATGCCCAGGAGCACCAGGTAGAGCAAAACTGCTCACCTCATGGCGGACTGGAAGCACAGTCACAGGGAGAGACCAGAGGCCAAGTATTCCCATCAAGGGCACAACTGCAGCAACTTCCTCCCAAAGACCCCGCTTCTCAAGTTCTCACTAACTCCCAGTAGCACCATGGGTGGAGGATCCATCATTCAACATGTAGGCCTTTGAGATCATCTCTGAACCACAGCAGTAGCTCATGCACAGCACACTCTCCAGGGGACAGTGCATTTCACTCAGTCACAAATACTGAGGTGTTGCTATATGCCAGCTACATTGTAGGTGCTGACAGCATTCATT